TATCTTCTCTGGCCGGCTAGGCTAACTCCCCAGGTACATGTTATACTATCCTTTATGTCGGCCAATTTCTGCTACTAGTATTTTCCCAGAGATCCGCGGTGCCTGGTAGAGGCTAGAGAAATAGATGAATCGCGCGCGTCCAGACCTCGTAATAAGTGGAGCGAGCGTGACCAAATGTCATCGGTGACGTCATTGACTCACCTGTACGCGCCAGAAGAAAAACAAACATGAAACCTGGCACCTGCCGAGTGTGTGTTTACACTAGCGGCCACCTGTCGCACGGACTGGCCTGGTCACGACCCTGGGCGAGGGAAAGTGGACAGTCAACACGCTAGGGATCTGTATTTTACGTCACATCCGCCTTATGATATGTTTAGGGACAAAAATGTCAGGTACCATATGTGGCCACCGTGGATGTATTCGTACAGAATTTTAACTGACTTGTGGCTGAAAATTCTGTTGATTCTTGTCAGTTCTGCCATATTAACGCTGAATTAGATAATAATGAAAATAGTACAAATTCTCCAAATACTAGTACTCCAAGCAGATCCCACGGAGGCAAAGCAGTATCCATCCGACCAGAGGAGTGACCAGCAGTAGCCCCGGTGGCAAACTCATTTGGCCAATGGAATCATGACTATTGCCTTACCATCGTAGGCTCTGTTTGGAATACAGTATACTTGGCCGATTTCTGCTATTAAGCTTTAGGCCACAGCAAGTAAATTTTATGGATGACATCCTCCGCAGACTACAAATCTAATGCGAGCGGGCGAAAAAAAACAAGGCGGGCCGAAAAAACAAGGTTCCTACATTTTAAAATTTGACTCAATCATTGTACAAATGGTTTTGATTCAGTGGGAACATCACATATACACAGCCTACATCACATATCGCTGCATCAAAGTAAAAAAATAAAACATTAAAACAGAGCCCTCTCTTTATAGTTATCTACCATCCACCTTCCGGCATGGTAACAGACATCTTTGCCTATTTTCGGCATGGTGACCACTGTCAGAAGGCAAGAAAATTTCTTGTTTTTTTCTTCTTCAATATCAGCTAGGCGAAAATCAATGCGCGCGCTGATGTCATCCATAAAAATTACTTGCTGTGGCCATACCCTCTATTCCGGTCAGACTATGACCAGCTACCTCCTATATATATATTGGCAAATTTGGTCACCATATTTGGTCAATTTTCTATTCTAAAGAAGCTTTACCACTAATATCCCAGGATTTGGCGCGCTATCCTACATCTGCTTGGAGATTATGGTTTGGTTTTTATTGTCCAAACAGTACCCGTGCAGTTGCAGCCTTTATACGGCTGAATTGATGCAGGGTATCACATAATCAATACAAATCACAACAATTACAACATTCAAATAATACAAATGATACACATAATACATAATACAATTTGTTCCACAATTATTTTGTGGAACTGTCGCAAGGGTCTGTGCGGCTGCCATTCGGCGCCACAAGGTGACCTCAATACGACTTTCCCCAACCGAAGTTAGGTACCCATTCACACCTGGGTGGAGTGAGGAAAGTCGTGTAAAGTGCCTTTCCCAAGGGCACAACGTCAGGGCGCATGTTCAGACATGTCCCGGTTAAGACCCGGAATCGAACCCGGGTCTCCCGGTTCACAGTCTATTGCTCTAACCACTACACCACCCGACGCCACACATCTGGTGCCCAGTATGACCAAGTAGGTTTTAATTCCATGGTATGACGTACCCTTGCCACCGTTCCATGGAGGTGTAGATATTTCGTCCGATTGAGTTGTCAATCACAGTTAATTTAAGGTGCGGTCTCGTGGTTGAGATAAATCTGTCATCAAACAAACCCTGATTATTTGTACCGGATGTGTAATTTACCACCGGAAGTGTGCTGTGGACACGACAGGTGTATCCGGAAATGAGTAGAGGGGCGGGGCTTGGAATTTCTGGTCTCAACCAGTATATTTGTTGTATGATAATGTAGATTAGTAAGAAGCTATAAATGGCTTTTGAATGAAATTTGGTATGTAGTTTAGTTTTTACCAAACGAACAGGCTAACACCGCGGGTTCAAAATCGGTCAAATTCAACCAAACAGGGAGTTCAGCTCGGCGTAGGGTTCGGCAAAATGTTCTCTCCCAGCAGACAAACTCCCCTGGCATGTTATCTCTCTATTTGGCCGATTTCTACTCTTTCCAGCCGCCTCCCGAAGCCTGGTAGATGCTAGAGAATGTCAAGGCTTGGGGTGGGGAGCACATTCTAATGCGACGAAACTTTCATTTAAAAAAATTCAATTGCCTCTTCATGAATTCAAAGCTAACTATACTAGTTCACCCATACAGTTAGTTGTACCTATGCGCCCTAAAAGCTCTTTCCCACAGGTATCTGATCCAGCCTATAATTTGTTTAGTCTTAAGACTTTTGCGGGGCTCAACCCCATTACTCTGATAGAAGCGAACTTGAATATTGCTTAGCAAGGGTCAAATATGTACGCCACACTACATTGAACCGGTTCCAAAGTTTGCCCCCTGCATGACGTAAGTACAAGGGGTTAAAACGCCGTCACACCACATTTCCTTAGCTAGTCATCAATATCAAACCTCGCCATTAGCTTAGGCCATGTTGATTTGATTATATGGATGACATCCTCCGGGAGCCCCAAAACTGATGCGCGCGTGCGAATAAAAAAAAAGTTTTGCACAAAAAAAAAAAGTTACTTTTCATTATGAAATCTACGTGGTCATGAGGGTTGAGCAAATGGCACAGAATATGGTTTGGCGAATAATCTAGTCTTCAAGTTCATTTCTTTACAGTTTCGTCTTTTTTCGTTTGATTTTGGCATTCTACAACATTGGTATAGTTATGGGTTCACCACACCACGAAGTGGTGTGGTGAAACCATATTGCTTTTTCTGATGTTTGTTCTTCTTCTCCTCCTCCTTCTCCTCCTGCCATTTTTTAAACGGATTCAGCTTCTTCATTTTAGGGCCTAAGGTCCTGAAATTTGGTATGGAGGTACAGTGGGCAAATACCCCTAGGCGTTTTTTAAATTATTGTGATACAGGCTTTTAGAATGGTTTTATTTGAGTTTTTTGGCTGTATTATAGCAAATGTATTACTGTGTTAGTGTACCGTGTTTACCACGTCTGGGCATGAGTCATCACAATGGAATGCAGGGCATCAACCAATAGGCATGCAGCTTTCCTCTATACTTCTTGCTGATTGGCTGTTGGGATTTAACTTGATTAACACAAGCACAGAGCATTTCCACCTGCACAGAGCATTTCTTGCTGATTGGCTGTTGGGATTTAACTTGATTAACACCTGCACAGAGATTTCCATACTGACAGTATGTCTTTATTCAAGTGTTTTGGTAGGTATTTCAAGCTTTTCTGCTCCAGCATTGGAATGCGCGGGGCATGAACGTTTTTTTATTTATTTTGAAAATCAACAGTTTGCATTATGCAATTAAAAATCCTAACCAATAAAGTAGGAAATAGCTATCCAACTGTTGTTTTAGTTGTATGTTACTTCATATTATAGTTATATCAATGTAAATCATTGTTTTCCCTTGTGTTTCTCATTCTTTCCCTGCCATGACGTCGTAAAATGTGGTGAACCCATCGCTGTATTTGCTCCAAAGCAAATATTGGCCTTTCTAGTTTTTATTAATTTTTTTGAACTTATGGTATATTTTTGCTCATTTTGCAACTATTTTGTACGATTTACAGTATGGTTGAAAACTTTTTTTTTGGAAAAGGCCGAAAATTCATGCGCGCGCGGATGTCATCCATATAATCAAATCAACATGGCCTTACGTAAATTGAGAGGAATCCATTCGTTTAGTCTAGTGGATAACCGGTTAGTTACAGTGGCACAGGGCTTCCTTTCTAACGGACGGTTATGTGTTCTGCATACAGAAAATGAATACATTGTATACCAACCGAACCTACTGTACATACATGTATAACATTCGGCGCTTTGTGCTTTACATTATGTACCATGCATTCAGATTTCTGACCCTTCAATATATATACTAGTATAGTCTACATTTAAGGGTTAATGTCCCGCCCCGAGGTGAATATGGTGTGATAAAGCCTTGTCAGTTGCTATAACCACAGAATAAAGCCACCAAGTGAGCGCAGCGAACGAGGTGGCTTTATGAGGTGGTTATAGCAACTGACAAGCTTTATCACACCATATTCACCGAGAAAGGACGGGACATTAACACTATTATCATATAGCTTACACAATAGTCTATCCAAACTGATGCAGCAAGTGATACAATGCACATGCTGAATAGAACATAGAACATAGTTCCCTCTGGAGTCACCTGAGGTCACTGGGTAGAGTTCACGTTCTCTGTCTTCTATCTGGGTCACAGGCAGGGAACAGGTGTTCTTATGGGAGTCAGCCGAGGTCATTGGAACACAATTTAAGTTATTTTTGGATTTTTTAGAACTAGAGCCCTGTTCTGCGGGTGATTATTTGGGTTGTTTAATGTATGGATTGGGATGAATAAATACCCGATTTTGACTCTATTTGTGACATTACGGCGTCATAAGGAATGTGGAATGGAGCCTTCTGATTGGTCAACGTCACCTGGCTATATGATAATGTACGTTATATAGCAATGAGAGAGATTCCCGATCCCTATATTCTTATATGATAGGTAAGTTCCCCAGCTTTGGACATTTAAATGAATTAGAAAAATTCATATTTTTTATGAAACTTCACAAACCATGTATTTTTAGTTCTATATGCTCGTACATCTATAACTGCGTCAAGAAGCCAGAAGTTGAACATGTAAATAGTAGATCACATTAGTATGTATAGTTTAAGTATCATTGCTGTATCCTTTTCCTTGTCTATTCATGACCTGTACTTAGCTTGTTAATGTTAGAGCACAAACGTACAATAAAGGTCTTTCATTCATTCCTTCAATATACAGACTGTGCTCTGAAAGGTATGACGAAAATGGCAACTCTTAATAAAAAGAAGCAAATGTTGATTTTTTAAGACTTGAAAGTAGCCTTTATTCCAACCACTGTCCAACAAATACACGTACAGGACTGCATTCTTTGAGGCAGTGCTTGCACACTGCCTGGAAAATGGCACAAGTCATCTTTACCAAGACACCACAGTTACAGAAAATATGCACACACCTACCAAGTTCATCATATTCAAGTGCCTGTCAGTATTTTTAAGTGTCATAAAGAATAGTTTTTGTGTAGCGGTGAAACAATGTCCGTTGACCACCACAGCACTGGCCAACAGATTTAGAAATACCTCAGACATTTCAACTATCTCTATACTCTTATAACATAAACTAAGATAGCATAATATACAATGAAGCATACTCTAATATGACATGCAAGCCTTCAATCTGATACGCCAGGCTTTCAAGTTTGTTTGGCACAAACTTGGAAAATGACTTTCCATACATGTATCTAAGGTGACTATAGTGGTACACACACAACTGTACAAATATATAATACAGAATTCAAGAGTCCATTTCTGCATTGCGGGCAAGTTGGCTGATTTTTCAAAGTTTCACACTTCTTGGTATACATACAACAAAATGAACACAAATACATGTATATCGTTATAATAGTATTTTCTATTAGTAAACTATTTGTTATAATGTATTAAATCATTATCTCATATTTTGCAGCCATAGATGTGATGTTTCATAAAATTTCAACCGAAATGTAGCTTACAAAACTGAAACAATGAAAAGTGAGGAAAAATGAAAACAAACATGCATTTTGTTTCATGATTTGTACTTAACTGTACAACACATAAAAAAGGCACATGGTGAAACATAGACAGCATAACTGGAAGACATTAATATTTCTTTGATATTTCCAAGTTTTGGGACAGATTCTGTCATTAGAATGTTATTTAGGACCCACACATCAGACACTCGTCCTTGTTTTCGAGAGAGCAGACCATGGCAGCCCGTTGTTTCTCCTTGTCTGCCTGAGTAGTGGACTGTGCCAGTTTCGTCTTGTCCACGGTAAACTGGATGGGGTTGGAAGCGGGGCGTGTGCGGAGGTAGTACATGCCTGTCTTCAGACCCTAGAGTGGGAGAAAAAAGATTATCACATGTTATTCCATAAGGGAAATCTTGAAAGCTTCGTAGTGGCTTTATTTTCAGTTTTTGCTGTGCTTCCCCATATCATAAAAATGCATATGTTAATTACAAGTCTATACATCTAAATTTCTGAAAACCTTGAAAACTGTATCAAATTAAACACCACTCAGTTTATGGTGAGTTCCCTTCTTGTGTTGTAACAAAGCCTAAACTCTACAGATTCTACTAACACAGATGAGCTTTTGCTTGATTATTCAGTTTAGATGCTGACATCTTCAAAGATTGGACCCAATCAGCACGTTTTACTCTAATTAAACTATCATGCAAACAGTAACGGATGATTTTAGAAACATCATACAGCAGAAAATTAAAAGTGGAACAAAGTAACAAATGCTAGCACTCCATGCTGAAAGCTGAAATTTGCAAAGCACCCCCTGGAGACCAGTTGGCGTACTGCAGGTGCAACAGTTAAGCTTACCAGCTTCCAGCCATAGAAGTGCATGCTGGTGATCTTTCCGTAGTTGGGCTCAGCGATGTGGATGTTGAGGGACTGGCTCTGGTCGATGAATGCGCCGCGATCAGCCGCCATCTTGATCACGATCTTCTGCGAAATCTCCCACGTGGTCTTGTACAGGGTGCGAATATTCTCAGGGATCACCTCAATGTTCTGAAGACAATAAAATCAACAGTCGCCAATCGTCAGTAATTGTCAGTCACCAAAATACCAAGTGTGCACTTTTTAAAAAAAACTTCTTGAAGTAGATTACATTCTCTTTCTTCTCTAACTTTTATGCAAATACCTTGCAGAACTTCATTGTTGCTGTCTTCCCCATGACCTATTCTTTTTGGGACAATCATCTGATTTGACATAACTTCTATGTTTTAATTTCAGATGCTACATGTAATTTTAACGACGGGAAAAATCCTGGTATTGATATGGTCAGTCCATCTCTTGAGCTTACCTGCACTGAGCCGTTGTTAGCAATGATCATGTTCTTCATTTCCTCGTTCCACAGTCCCAGTTCTGTCAGGTCAGTCATCAGGTGGTGGTTCACAACCTGGAAGAACACAAATTCAGATATTTCTCTCCACAAACTTTGTCTAGGTAGGAAGTAAAAGGATCAGGTAGAGACATGGTTGTCTTGACAAAAAAAGCGAAGTGTCAGAAGGTTTTGAAAGGGTGCCAGAACGTCAGCAGGCAACTTCGACATAAATGTTCAACTGAAGGTTTTCTGGATGCAAGGCACGTGACATTGGACAGAAAATAAGGCTTTTGTAGGAAACCCAAAAATGATAGAATCCCACCCATCTTGCCTCAGACTCTGACACTGTGGGAGCTGAAGAAAAAGGAATTGGGCTGGCCTGGCTGTCTGGTACTAGCCACACCAATAAATAAAAAATAAATAAATAAATAAGAATTGGAATCAACTCTTCTTTTCATTATTGTCCAAGATATATCCGTGTGCCAGAATTTATTTTAAAAATGCTGTGACATGCTGGCATGGTTTATTGGCAAAGTTTAAAATTGTTCCATGAAACTTGACTGTGCATCTCTAAGCCCTGATTGTTTATCTAGCAAATAAGGCCACACCAATTTAATTTCTTGGTTAACGGATTCGCCCGCTTTGTTTTTTTCTAATTTGCAAATAAAAATAAAAATTCAGAATCAGCTCCAAAATGCTGATATTTTGATCTGAACAGTTGAAAACAGTCCTTTTCATCCTAGCTGTTACAGTTATTCCATCTTTCAATGCAACGGTATCATTAAATGTTAAAAATTCATTGTTTAAATTTTGAACCAGCCTGGTGTGTTGACTTCATGGCTCCTATCGTACAATTTTGGGCCATAATAGGATGCCTAGGCCTGTTTTTATTTTTTTTCACCCGCCCGCTCCATTATTTTTCTAGAAAAATCCGTTAACCAAGAAATTAAATTGGTGTGGCCTAAAGGCAGAAAAACAGACCTGGAATTCTCCAGACAGCACCCTCCTGGTGTAGATGTTGCTGGTGTAAGCCTCGATGGACTCGTTGTTCCCCAGGATTTGTGCAGTGGAGGCTGTGGGCATGGGGGCCAACAACAGGCTGTTCCTCACACCATGCTGCTTCACCTGGAAAAAAAATATCACAAAAATTATTCCTTCAACTGTAAATCTTGAAACATTTGCAGTTATTTTATTTCCGTCCTGCCTCTCCACTGCCCACTGCATTCTTACAAATATAAAACTCTGCTAAAACCGCCTTTCCACTTCAACTGTGAAGTCAAAACCCAGCAAAAATAGATCAATTTCTTGAAGTTAAACAAGCATTTGTCATTGTGGGATAGGATGTTACAGTTTCGCAAGCAAAACCAACTATCTGTACATTGAAAGATATTCGTTCGTGGGGATGTATCTTTTCTATAATTGTCTTATTTTTGCATATTTTCTTACCTGCTCCTTGAGTGTAGCCCAGTCCCAGAGGTCAGTTGGGGTGACGTTCCACATGTCGTACTGGAAGATGCCCTTACTGACGGGAGAGCCCTCATATGTCTGGTAGGGACCTAGGAGATACAGGACAGTACATCAAGAGATTAGAAATTATGTTTTAATAATCCCTACCAGTTTTGATTTAAGAAACATGTCCCCACAAAAATATGGACCAAAACTTTGGAGTCTTATCAATTTGGGATGGTTCATTATCTAACTTCTTAGCAAGAACAGTCTCCATGATCTCCTACTTTTATTGAAAAGTGAGGTGGGTTCTTTATGTGCTCAACTGGAACTGCATATATGGGACTGGCTGATGACAATATTTCCTTTGAAGAACTATCACAAGCCAACCACAAGCAGTGATGGGCATACCAGAGTTTAGAGAATTTGTTGGGATTTTAAGTAAAGCTGATCAAACAAGTGTGGTTGTTGACTACCTTCTGTTTTTTCTAACATGTACCACACAACAGAGAACCTACCCAGCTCCTTGGCGAGTTCACAGCTGGCCTGCATGGCTCCGTAGTAGATGGTCTCGAAGATCTGTTTGTTCAGGTGCTGGGCCTGCTCGCTCTCGAAGGGGTAACGCATCAGGATGAAACAGTCTGCCAGGCCCTGCACACCGATACCGATGGGCCGGTGCCTCTTGTTGGAGTTCTCAGCCTAGAGGCAAGTCGGATGTGAAAAATGTGAACTTGGTTTAGTTATTCTTTAATTGCCCACCATCACAACAATCCTCATTCTGGCATATTTATTTTTATCTGAGTGAAGCGAGGAAAGTCGTGTTGAGTGCCGTTCCCAAGGGCACAAGGTCGGTGACTTGGCGGGATTCGAACCTCGGACCTCTTGGTTCTGGGCCAAATGCTCTGTTGTTACGCCACACAACCTGACTTCTTAAAAATATTTGCAGAGACGTATACCACACAACCTCATTTCTTTTATATTTGCAGAGGCTTAATTTAAGTAATATTCAGACTGCACACAAGAATAAGAAGATCAAGCTCGTTCAGCAATGTAGACAGAATGGTAGGAGGACCCAGCTCTATCCAGTGGAGGTAGGGAATCGTGGATTTGTAGGAGCTTCAATATGCAGTTGTGCGGGGACTTTTAAAGCAGAGGGTAGACACAGTCTCAGTTTGTCAGTCTTGTGTCAGAAGTAGAGGAGAGTAGCTTTGTTATCTGGTTCTGCAGGAGAAAGATTAGGCATTGGAAGCAAAATAGAAGCGACTGTGCCGGAGGTTGGATAGAAAAATCCACCCTACCATCCAGAGGCGTCTTAGATGTAAAGGGATGAAACGCCAGTCTGACTGACGATATTGTGAAGCCGTTTGAAAAGAATGTCATCTTCTGGCAGGTTAGTGTCAACCTGTATGCTCTGGGCTCTTGACATCAAAAGTGACCAGTCGTAACGAAAGAGAATTACTCTACCTCGGGAACGGGGTAGTAGTTGACGTCGATGATCTTGTTCAGGTTGCGTGTGATGACCTTGGTGACCTCCAACAGTTTCTGGAAGTCGTAGGTCCCGTCTGGCTTCACGTACATGTTGACTGCGATGGATGCAAGGTTGCACACCGCAACCTGGTGGCAATATAAGATGCAAACATGTAACAATGTTTTGATGCAGTAATCTGGTCTGGATAAAAACACTCATGTCCTTCTACACTGATTTGCTTTAAAAAATATAATGCAATACTAAATAGTAGAATCTGCTAGCTTTAAACAGAGTAGTGTTACATGTAGAAGTGCCCAGCTTCAGTATAAGTTTACCATATGCCAAAGAGAAGTTAAAGTTCAGTTACTGTACATCCACTAGGTTTGTTTGAACCAGTCTATTCACGAGAAGCTCAAATCAGCCTGTAGGCTGCTTTTCATTGAGGTCATGAGGCAAAAGGTAGAGTCCATTCCGCGTCACCGAGTGGGTTTTTTCTCCATGTTTCTAATACGTTTGAATTATTTAGAAGAAAAGAATACCCCAGTAACAAAAGTTCTAAATTTTTCAAAAATTTGAAAATGAAAATTTCAATTCATTTATATATTTCTGAAACATTTTGAATGTGACTGTACAAAGATCTCTTTTTTTAGAATAAATTTGAACTACCCATGTGTTTCTTTCACAATTCGAAATATTTAGAACTATTTCAAACAAATAACCAAATGGTAGATGTGGGTAATTGCCCCCATAAAAGTAGGTGCTAATCCTACTCTTCTGTCTTCCTCTGTATATTTTTAGATTTCACTGCTGGACACTGGTGGCTCTTTTGTTGTAAGGCATCAATGCCTGACACCCAGGCAGTCTGCCCTGTACTTCACAGGGATGTGTGAATTACTTCCTTCTCATCCCACTGACCTATTTACAAAATGTTAGAAATAATTCGAAATAATGGTAAAAAATGGTAGAGTGCTGTTAGAAATATTTAGAAACTGTTGGAAATGTCATAATCCACATCAGGAATATTTCAAACGTTTTAGAAAACCAGGGAATTATTTAGAATATTGACAAGATGTTCAAAATATTTCCAAATTATGAAATTTCTTAGACAAACAATTACAAAGAATTCAAAACATTTCTAAATAATGACAATAACAACCCACTCGGTGACGCGGAATTGACTCTAAGGGTGAGACAAAATATATAAGATACAATTTATCTCTGATTCAGTTAAGTCCTAGAACAAAGAAGCTGTCAATTCTGTAGTTTAGGCCAAATAGAAGATGAAGTACATTTCACCATAGATTGCCCCTTGTATAGTAGAGATAGACTCATATTTTTTAGCCATGTATTAAGTATATTTCCCCACTTCAGATATTTGACTAGTAAAGAGAAATTTGTATTCCTTTTAACTTTTGATAAACCTACCCTAAGTAATCTCACAGCCGCACATATCCATGCAATCACTAATAAGCGAGATGAAGCCGAAAAGAATAAAAATTAGACATTTATTTACACTCTTATATGTTCATATGTATGTAATGAATATGTTTATGTTCATGTTCTTTACCCATGCGACCTGTACTTAGTTCTGTAGAACACAAATGTACAATCAATAATACAACAGTAATGTCCCTTGAAGAAAACGTAGGCAAAAAGAATTAGGAGTTTAAGATTCTGACCTCATCTGGGCTTGTGTACTCCACGATCTCGGTGCAGAGGTTGCTACACTTGATGGTGCCGAGGTTCTGCTGGTTAGACTTGCCGTTGCAGGCGTCCTTGTACAGCATGTAGGGGTTTCCTGTCTCTGTCTGTGCCTCAATGATGGCGTACCAAACCTGCTGGGCTTTCACAGTCCGACGTCCCTTACCTGCCTTCTCATAGCTGCCAGGAACACAAGGAAAATGTCAATCAATGCAGTCATCTGCTTTTATTTTATTTTTTTTTAAACATTTTGATCCTATTTTCTGTCCCAATTTGTGAAGTAAAATGTGACCAGGGACTACTTTCTTGTCAGAAGTATGAAGAATTTCTAAGGGAAACATGCTAGGGGCTTGCATAGTGATATATTATTTCTGGATGTTAAGTCAAGTTAATGTCATTTCAGAGTGGGCTTCACTGTGTCCAATCAAGTTACTGTATGTCTTTACTTTGGTTTTAATTTCAAAGATTTTGTAGTCACACAAGGTGAGCATGACTAGGCATTTCCATGGTGTTACCACGGTACCTAGAGCTTAAACCATCCTGAAAACACTCCTTCCCCACCATGAAATTAAGTATGTATCTGCAACAATGAATGAATTACAGTGAAAGTGTCACCTTACCCTGTGTACAGTTTCTCGAACTCCTCCCCCCAGCAGTCCTCGAGGCCGGGACACTCGTGCGGACACATGAGCGTCCAGTCACCATTCTCTTCCACACGCTTCATGAACAGGTCCGGGATCCACATGGCGTAGAACAGGTCTCGTGCGCGCTGCTCCTCCTTCCCCGTGTTCTTTCGAGCGTCCAGGAACTCGAAGATGTCTGCGTGCCAAGGCTCCAGGTACATAGCGAAGGCACCAGGGCGCTGCAACATGTTGATGTGTTAGAAAATTTGCTGAGGTAACAATTTCTGGACCAAATGGTTGGTGTGTAATTGCTTCTACTACTATAAGCAATAATTTTTGTGGTGCCTCTTCACCTTAAAATCATGACAACAGAGTATAAATGCTATAAAGTAGTTTTATCCACGAATTTAAAACTCCATGTAAATCTGATTTCCACTCCTACAGTAGAATAGTGACACCACTAAAGAATTTATGAATTGACAGTATCATTGAATAAAATATCAGAATGTATGAAGAATCTAAAATCTCACCTTGTTTCCTCCCTGGTCAACATAACGTGCCGTGTTGTTGAAGACTCTCAGCATGGGGAGCAGACCGTTAGATGTCCCATTAGTCTGAAGTGCAAAGGATTCAAGAATTGTCATTACTTCATACACTCACACACACACACACACACACACAGACACACACTCACTGTCAAGAAAGAGTAGTCATACACAAGACAATTGGCCAAAAAACAACATCTAAGTCGCAAATCCTTTTCCCAGTTGAGTGTACAAGAAAAGAAAGAGTACTACAATATCATCTGTTTGAATCCAGTTGTAACATTTGGTATACATGCTGTATCCTCTGTACTTCCAAAATAAGAACATTTCATTCTAGGGTCTTTTTCACAGGCATAGTCATGTCTGTATTAAAGAAGTCTTTGGATCAAGTCTGGAGGATGAGAAAGTTCTGCTTTGTTTTTGCTTACCCCGGCAATGAAGCTGCCAGAAGCCCTGATCTTGTGGATGTTGACCCCGATGCCCCCAGCAGACTTGGAGATGAGTGCACACTGCTTCAGGGTCTCATAGATACCATCAATACTATCATCCTTCATCGTCAGCAAGAAGCAACTAAGGGAAGGAATAAATGACTGGATGAATGAATGACTTGGTGATGCATATACATTTCTTTAGTGCCTATCATCTTGTCTTTCCTATCATCATCTTTCATTGTCAGTAAAAAGCAACTAAAAGAATACATGAATAAATGAATGAATGAATGATGTGGGCATGTATATGTATATATGTTATACATTACTTTGTGTCGACCATTTTCTATCTTTCCTACCTTGCTCCAAAACCTGCAAAGTGCCCTTAAAAATACCAGGGTTCTAGCTAGTGCGAAGTAGCGTAGGGGGCCCCATACGCTATAATTTTGACTCCTTACGCTACATTCTCCCCCCCTATGCTAATTTTCAATACAGCGTAGCGTACATTGTGACTGCATTTCTTTGTTCAAGAATGCTAGATCAAATGTGAAAAATTACCAATCAAGGATACATTGTACATACCTTGGAAATAACATTTTTTCCCCTTTGGGTATCCCTCAAATGGCCTCTTTTTTAACTCAAATTTTTAAAAGCTCCGCACCGCAGAAGAGGGGCACATCCCCCCTTCCACCTCTCGGTGACATCCGGCCAGTGCCACTACGCTAAAATTAAATCCTAGCTAGAATTCTGAATACTGTAGATATTTCACGATTTACAGTACTCTGTGACTCACCTGGACAGCTGTGGCTTGTTGGTGCCAGCATTGAAGAGAGTTGGAGAGGCGTGGGTGAACCACTTCTCGGACATCAAGTTGTACGTCTGCAAGTACATAAAGATATCTTAAGTTTACAGAAATTACTAGATACTTGCTAAAGGATGGTTTCTTGAAAATAAAATGGGGTCAGCTACAATTGAATTTCTGCATAAATCATTCATCTTAATTTGGGTTACGTAATATTGTTTAATCTACGTTCCACACACAAAAACTGTCAACAATTCTGTTCCATGTTGGCTTTTGATGGCAACATGTATGATACAGAAATGACAATTTTACCTCAATGGCAGCATCGAGGTCCTCATAGTGGATTCCCAAAGCTACCCTCATCAGCATGTGTTGTGGGCGCTCCGCAACTGTGTGCAAAATAGACACGTGATGAGCCATACATGTACATGTATTTTAGAATTACATACTTGGCAACCGGGATAAAATTCTGGCTGTAGGGCTTCATGTAATTGTGGTTCTATTTGGAACACTTCAGTAATATACCACAGTGTGCTTACATGTATGTTCTGGGCCCACAATCTGAGAAGTATCAATAAATTTGTCCATAAACATATATAGAAACTCACCTTTGCCATCTATCCTGAGAAGGTAGGACCTCTCCAGAGTCTGAATGAACAAGAAGAAAAAAAGTTGAGTGTTGTAATCTTATTTGTCCCTAACATTTACTTATCTTAATAGTACCTATTACATTAGCAATTCTAACAGTGTCTTGGTGTGCTAGAGTATTTCTCTATGTGTAATGTACTGTACAAATCCGCAAGTCCACTGTAGCAGGGTGCCTGCAACCAGCAGTGCCGCTACAGTGGGTGAAGACAATTTGACGTTTCTCTCCGACAGCATAAAATCACACCAGCCAGTCTCAGGTGGCATGAGGAACAGCCGTCGGATGTGTTTTGAAAACTTGGTATGACATGTGGACGTTCAAAAAATGACAATCATGCTTCGATAGGTATAAAGCAGTGCGTACTTCATTCTGACATACAGGGCTCGAAATACTGGGTGCATGTGCACCTTGGTGCACCCAAATTTGGAGCTGTGTACCCATTTTTTTCAGTGCACCCAAATATTTTCGTACGTTTAAGTAAAAAGATGTTAAATGTACGGTAGTATACAGCATATTCTTCACATCTAAGTGTCAGAAAAATAATAGAATCACAACAGTTATAATCAGTTTTTTCTCACATTCTACTTATTTTCTTATATGTTGCACTCATAAACTTTTTGTGCACCCGATTTTTTAGGTTCGGTGCACCAGTGTACCTATTCCCAAAAATGAATTTCGAGCCCTGGACATGCAATGTCGCTTAAATGATATCACATGTCTGCAAAGGTGGTATGTAAGGTACATGTCTTACTAATTACAGTAGATACCAAAAGAAGTAAACAGAAGCCAATGATACAGTTTCACTAACCTTGATGCCAAAGTAGGTGTACTTGAAGTCACGATCATAGATGATGGCAGAGTTCAGCCTCTGTGGGACACAAACAGGAGAAGTAAAAAAACAAGCACACAGCATTAATCCAACAACTCAAGTCAATATACCATGTTCAGAACTTTTTCTTCAATGCCACTGTCTATATTACACATGTGGGAAAATTACTATCTGTCTTACTTTTATAATAACTTCATTTCAAAACTGAGGGACTTTGCAGCTATGAATTGTATGAATCGATGATACAAACAATCTTACATCTGCATTCTTCTGCACAAGGTCCATGAGTTTCTTGGAGATCATGGGGGAATGTTGGTTAGTCTTGGGGTTCACCCAGTTGTACAGGTCCTCCATGACATCTGTGGAAGGAAAAAGATAGTTTTGGTACATTAGTTTAAAACATTTATGATTTATACTAATTTGCTTGATGGGGATGGCTTGCCCTATGTAGCAGGCATGTGAAGTTCCTATTGAAAGGAAGAATACATTGTGGTGTTTGGAAGGATGCCCAATTGCCCATCATACATGTACCTGGAACTCCAGTCTTCTACATCATATCAGATTTCCATTGCTACATAATTGATGATTGTACTTTTCTTCTAGAAGTCTTGTGAACAACTAAACACTTTGGTGAAGCCTAACCCATAACAGGGCTCGGAATTCATTTTTGGGAATAGGTGCACTGGTGCACCCAACCTAAAAAAATTAGGTGCACAAAAATTTTTTTGGGTGCACCATATAAAACAAAACCTACAAAATGTATGTACAGATCTTACTGCTCCTCTTCTGAGCTTGAATCTGAAATGGGAGCTAACTTCAAAATCTTACACAAGTACTACAACAAAGATTTTATTTTTTTATCTGACACTTACATGCCAAGAATATCCTGTATAGTATTAGACATTTGATATGCACAAAAACACCTACAAAAATATTATGGTGCACCAGTGCACCCAAAGAAAAAAATTGGGTGCACAGCTCCAATTTTGGGTGCACTAAGGTGCACATGCACCCAGTATTTCGAGTCCTGCATAATAGAAATGGAAATCCTACCAGAGAAAGCCTTCTTGGTCTCCTTGTGCAGGTTGGAGATGGCGATGCGGGCAGCGAGAGTGGCGTAGTCTGGGTGCTTCACGGTCATGGTGGCAGCCGTCTCTGCGGCCAGGGTGTCCAACTCAACAGTGGTCACCCCAGAGTACAGGCCGTTGATGACCTTCATGGTGATTTTGGTCTGACAAAAACAACGTGGAGTCAGTGGTGTGGCATAGCTCAGAAATTTGGCTTTTGGATCAAAAGGTTATGGGTTCTACTCCTGTTTTCATCCTATGCAGGGCTATGATAAAAAAATTAAATACTTCTGGTAAGAACCCTCCTCCACATAATTTATTGACAATAAAGACAAAAGAAAAGTGTTGAAGAATTTGTCTTTCTTGACATTTAAGTTAGAAGACAGAGACACAAGGAACAGTTTTGAAAAATTAAAAAGAAAACACACCTGCAAGTAAAAAAACAAAAACTGATACACATAAAACAGGTATAACAGATGAAAAAAAAAGTGTGCATAACTATTTTCATATGCTGGACACAATTTTCTTACATACCATTTAATTCTTGTATCAAATAGCAAATCATAATTTTACTTAAATTTGTCCAGGAGAGGTCAAAGGTTAACAAAAGGTCAACACTCCATTTTCCCGCGAAAATCCCTTTGCTTACACAGGGGGAGGGGGGCTTCCCGCCAAAATTCCTCAGCAAAATACAACAGCCGTTCATAAAACGACTACCACATATTTTGTATCCATCATGTAAATTACAAACATGATAATTATTCATATAATCGGCCATAGAGCCGATTTTTGTAAGCATGTTTTGATGTTGGGATGTCGGTTTCAAAATCGCGCGCGCTGACAAAGAAAACAAGTATCGCTTACACTGCAAACGAACGCAGTCAACTGAAGTGTCAAACTGTGCCTACCGGCAAAAAACCATACCGCACATTATTATAAGCAGGTATAAATTCGCCTAAGTTACAAATAACATGAATACTTGGCGGCCCGGAAGGTCGAAGACGATCGTGACGTATGGAGAAAAAAAATGGCGCCAACCGAGCACAAAGAGCCACTAACACGTAACCGACGTTTTCTTCTGTCTTGCGCGAAAATAAATAAGTTATCACAACATTAACATATTTCTGTCTTCTGTATGATATTTAGATACTTACGGGGTCGACGAAATCCATGTTAAGCCCATAGCAGAGCTTTTGGATCCGGGAAGTGATCTTGTCAAAGTGGACCTTCTCTTGGCGGCCATCTGAGGAGGGGGAAGGGGGGGGAGGGGGTCAGCGATAAATTTATTAAAAAAAAGGAGGCTATCCATAGTTTACCCGGACAATATTCTGTCAGAATATATCGCCAGGATAGTTATGAAACCCGTGGAGGCAATGTCGGCAATGAAAGCCACTGCAGAAGAAAAATTCTGAGGGAAACATATTGGGTTTACGTTAGGATGTCAAACGACACTGCGAGAAAATTATGGAGGGAAAATCGGATTCACAAGTCTGCCGACAAAATCACACAGAAAACGTGTAGGAATCTCTGACATGTCGCAGCGAGGTCTTAGATAGATCAAGGATTATACATACCTCTCTTAAGGACGTACATCTTGGAAATAGGTAAGAATTTTGGGGGAATTTAGAAGAGAAACTTGAACAACAGCCCTGCCCTGAGAAATGGACGTCTTGAATGGAGCGCCAAAAGTGAAGTCACGTGATACAGGTCAGTAGACGCATACCATCTGTGAGGGGTGTTTAGATTTAAATGATATTTTATTTCTGCCAAAATAGAAGTTTGATTATTGCATAACTTTCATATAAAAGTAAAAAGTAATATTTTTTGTTAAACTTATACGAATTTTCCGATTTGTGTCGCTCTTTACAGCAACAAGGATTATCTAACAAAAGTTGTGGCACCAGCAATGGAATAGTCAACTTGAATTGACCAATCAGGGGGCAGCTGATGACAGCTGGGTGGGAGAGAGACAGAGGGCATGTCGGGACGTGTAGATAAATGATTGACAGAATGATTGACTCACTATCAAACTAAAGTAACAGGTGTTCCAGGTGTACACGTGAGAGCATCTCTGAACATCATCAGAAAACATTTGGGTCTTTCAGGTTGTTCACACAAAGTAGGAAGCTGCTGCTTCTTTTCTGTTCTTTATTTTGAGCTTTTGTGACCTTTTGAACTTTTGTATTGACTTCAAGTCAAGGGTTGTTGTTGAATTGAAGGACAAGTTACATATTAAGGGTCCAATGTCAACACCTGTGTTCAATGTCAACACCTGAGGGCCCATAGCTTGTAGCATGTGTGACATATTTTTCTGAAGAACGATTTTGCTATATTACATTATGACATCCACTGTTTTGGACCCCAAATACAATATTGTGGCCAGCCAAACATGTAACGTTATACTATAAGTACTATAAGCCCTTTGGGCAAGGTTTACTATAATGTTAGACCATGAACAAACTACATGAGACACTCCCAGGACACAAACATTTGCAACAAGACCTCTGCTACTAGTACTATAAGTATAACAACAGGCTGTTGGATAAATTTGAAGAGTTAAATTTGTTTCAAAGAATTCTACAAGTAGGCTCTGCTCTATTACATCCTGTACTAAAATCAAAAGGCATAAAACCTAGTCATGAATGTTTCAAATAATTAGCTTACTTGTTGGAGCTGGATACTTGATTGCTGAAAACTGTAACAGAATCCTGATTCTGTACAAAATATTTACAGATGTACACAGTCAGACTTCATTTTTCCGCTGTTTTGTTTTCTTGCACAGTTACCATGACGACCCCATCAGCACGGATCCGTATCTACAGCGCCATGAGCGTGGACGGGTACATCGCCACGGAGGACGGAGGGGTCGCCTGGCTGGAACAGTTCAACACCGCGGACACGGGGTACGACGACTTCTTCAGAGAAATCAGCACAGTGGTGATGGGACGTACCACCTACGAGCAGGTTAATTTGTTTGTTTGTCTTCCTATATAGTGATTGTATTATTGGTACTCAATACTTTTCAGGTTAGCACCTGGTCTCTACTTGTACTGTATTCGATTCTTGGACAGCATAGGATGGATTTAGGAAATATTCTTGAAAATCTGAGAATCAACAGTTATAAACTTAAAGCTGGCCCTAGGTAATTTTTTCAGATGGCTTTTGATATCAATAGTATAGTCATGACTATTGTTGTAACAACAACAATAGTCATTACAAGAAAATGACAGACATGGTAATGAAGTACATACAAACATAGGAAACTGTTAAAATTGCTAAATTCATATCTGTGTAGTTTTGTATGTGTGGTAGATCATATGTTGTCCCTTTGATGCAAATTCAGACTTATTTTGCTTCTTTACAAATGGAGGCAGGATCTTTTAAAACATTGAAGACTGACATGATTGCAAAAATTGAATATCTGTGATTTGACTTAGGTTTGTGGATTTGATTGCCCATGGCCGTATGCTGGCAAGAAAACTGTCCTCCTCACCACCAAAAACCTCACCAACCTAACTACCGAACAGACTGCGTGCTATTCCGGAGACGTACGCGACCTTGCAGACGACCTTCGCAAGACCACAACGGCAGGTGACATCTGGTTGGTGGGAGGGCGGATGGTTACGCAGGCGTTTCTGGACGCAAGGCTGGTTGACGAACTTGAACTGTACGTGATGCCGGTGTTGTTGAACAGGGGAATACGCATGTTTGAACCGTCTGGAGGCACACCCAACGATCTGACCAGTCTCAAACTGAAGGAGAGCAAAACATTCCCCAATGGTGTGGTCAAACTGGTATACAACAAGGCAGACGTGTCTTGAAATTAATCTTGATTATTGTCACCTAGGGCCATGTTTATGTGAAGTCACCCAAGGCACTTTACATGTGGTTTACCCCGAAGCCAATTTCAAGTGGCTCCATCTGAACGCTCCAAGTCACATTGAAAGCGCCTCGATCCCAAGCCACTTCTAGAGGCGGTTTCGAATCGGTTTTCCCGCATCGCGATTTGCGTCTGAATGCAATGCGATTTCAATGTAACTTGGCCTGGTCAAAGATTACGGGGTGATATTTCTTTATTTATATGCAATACCAAATTTTACGTGTCAGCAACTTAAAGAGCATTAATGGTCAAACAATGTGTCCGCTCTAGGGCGAGCTTCACCGCCTCTGGCGGGACCACGTCGGCATTCGACCGAGATATGCTGGGAGGGGGGCATCAGCAAGCAGGTCGTTGACCTCTGACAATAATAACACGCTACCTTGCGTGTTATCATCAAACAGCAATAAATGTTACGAGCTCAAGCGAATTGTGATCAGACACGGTTTCACAGGAGTGTGGGACACGTGGACCAGATGTGAGGAATGTGAGTTACCCGAATCGCGGTTTGGGTGACTTCACATAAACACGGCCCTACACAGGTTACACCTACCGGTAATCTGAAAGCAGATCTTTTGTTGGCTGCAAGACAGTATCAAATTAGCAAGACAGCCTGGCAGGGCAGTATCCATTTGTACAAAAAAGAAAGCTGATAAAAATGCTGCTTAGGCCACATCAATTTAATTTCTTGGTTAACGGATTTTTCTTGGAAAATAATGGAGCAGGCGGGCAAAAAAATAAAAATAAAAACAGGCCTAGGCATCCTATTATGGCCCAAAATGGTATGATAGGAGCTATGAAGTCAACACAACAGGCTGGTTCAAAATTTAAACAATGAATTTTGAACTTTTAATGATACCACTGCATTGAAAGATGGAATAACTGTAACAATTAGGAAGAAAAGGACTGTTTTCAACTGTTCAGGGCAAAATATGAGCATTTTGCAGTTGATTCTGAATTTTTGTTTTTATTTGCAAATCAGAAAAAAATGAAGCGGGCGAATCCGTTAACCAAGAAATTAAATTGGTGTGGACTTAGAGAGTAGGATACACCAAGAATAATGCTCAACAAAAATCAACATCATAAATGCATGGGACGGTACATCAAAAGTATGATTTCTCTTCTGAAAAATTTTCCATAATTTTGGGTATGGTGCTATAAGGTGAGTGAAAATAGCACAGGCTAAAAGAAAGAAAAAACATAATGCTGTAGTTGATATTGTTAATTGTAGTGAACTTACTACTCGTAAGTAAATTAAAACTGATGCTTCTTAGAAGAATCTTTTTTTTTAACAAAAATTGATGAACTGAAAGGCAGATAAATTGTAATGCAGGTAAAACTGGTATGTGGGGTCGTGTGGCGCAATCGGTAGCGCGTTCGGCTCACACCCCAGAGGTCGCGGGTTCGAACCCTGCCCATGTCACCGATCTTGTGCCCTTGGGAAAGGCACTTAACACGACTTTCCTCACTTCACTCAGGTGGAAATGAGTACCTAGCTTCGGTTAGGGACGTCCCTCAGATAGGACGTTAAATGGAGGTCCCTTGTTTGGGAGAGCCACACCCCACACACGTTAAAGAACCCACCACACTTATCGAAAAGAGTAGAGGATCTTCCCGGTGTGAGTGGTTCAAAACCTTACAGTCCGGTCTTACGCAGCTTGTACATGTACATGTACGAACATGTACAAAACTGGTGTGTTACGCCTAAAGGCGGTTTACCGGTTATGCGAAACAAACAAAGCAAACTTATCTTGTGCAGGTAATGTTGAATGTTGCCTGCACCAGTGCATGTACATGTAATGAATGCAGAAAAAAGTATTTCAAGTCCTGATTTTAAATGCTAGCAACTGCTAAATGTTTGCTTTAAATTAAAAATAAATGGTTTTATAATAATAAATGGTATTTTTTATTGTCCAAACAGTACCCATGAGGTCGCAGCCTTTAAACGGCTGAATTGATGCAGGGTATCACATAATAATCAATACAAATCACAACAATTACAATAATCAAATAATACACATGATACACATATTTTTTCCACAATTATTTTTTGTGGAACTTTCGCAAGGGTCTGTGCGGCTGCCATTCAGCGCCACAAAGTGACCTCAATACGACTTTCCCCAACCGAAGTTAGGTACCCATTCACACCTGGGTGGAGTGAGGAAAGTCGTGTAAAGTGCCTTTCCCAAGGGCACAACGTCGGGCGCATGTTCAGACATGTACCGGGTACGATTCGGAATCGAACCCGGGTCTCCCCGGTTCATAGTCGATTGCTCTAACCACTACACCACCCGACGCCACTAAAAAGTAAAAAAGTCAACACTTATTACTGACCAAGCACATTAGATATTTATTGCACCAAATATCATACAATACAAATAAGATTCTGAAAGGCACATATAAACTTCACAATATTTGCACAAATCTGCCATATTAAGGTCCATACAATGTAGGTAAACCTTCTAACTAGAACTTGTCTTGCTTTTTACTAGCTTTAATAAATATTCATAATGAATGTATACAACAATGATTTTACAATACAAGACATTACAGAATTCTCCATTACAAGCAGATATGTATATATCTATATATCTTACAACATGGCACAAGGTTATACAATTGATTGTTAGGCCACACCAATTTAATTTCTTGGTTAATGGATTTTTCTAGACAAATAATGGAGCGGGCGGGCGACAAAAAATAAAAACAGGCCTAGGCATCCTATTATGGCCCAAAAAGGTACGATAGGAGCTATGAAGTCAACACACCAGGCTGGTTCAAAATTTAAACAATGAATATTTAAGTTTTAATGACACCACTGCATTGAAAGATGGAATAACTGTAACAACTAGGATCAAAAGGACTGTTTTCAACTGTTCAGGGCAAAATATGAGCATTTTGCAGTTGATTCTGAATTTTTATTTTTATTTGCAAATTGAAAAAAAATGAAGCGGGCGAATCCGTTAACCAAGAAATTAAATTGGTGTGGCCTTATGTTGAAAAAATTTTCTCATTAAAGGTTTTTGGCCTGGTTGCTTAATATGCAGTGTTTCTTGTTGTATTTTTTGTTGTATTTTTTTTTTTCATCAGTAAAAACAAGGTTTGGACTGGATATCCTCTCTATGGTTACTGCACTCTGTAAGATACATGTAATTTATTGGGGAATTGGCATTGGAATGACATTGGAACCATGTAAAAAAATGTAACCCTGACTTGCAGTTTAATTTGACAGTATTACCCCATTTAAGGCCACATCAATTTAATTTGTTGGTTCTCGGATTTTTTCAGAAAAAATAAGAAGCGACAGGGTGAAAAAAAAAAGTAAAACAGGTCTAATAGCCCCAAATGCTTTGATAGGAGCCATAAAGTCAATACAAAAGGCTGGGTTCAAATTTAAACAAGGAATTATGAACTTTTAATCAAACCACTGCATTGAAAGATGGAGAAACTGTAACAACTAGGAAGAAAAGGACTTTCCTCAACTGTTGGGGGCAAAATATGCACATTTTTTGGTTGATTCAGAACCAGAATCTTTTTTTTTGCAGATCAGAAAAAATTGAAGAGGCGAATCTGAGAACCAAAAAATTAAACTGGTGTGGCCTAAAGAGAGAAATCTCAAGTTTCTGACTTTTTGTTAAGCCTGAAATGCAGCCATTTTAGGTTTGGCAAGTCCCAATCGCCACCTAGTGGTAGCATAGAGAATTGCAACAATGTTCTAACATAAATAGCTGTTACTGGAATATACAAAACAGTACAGCCTATGGAGGCCCCGATAATCACAATAATAACATTCATTTACATATGTTTAAATTGGAATAGACTTCCACAACTTTGGAATATAAGGTTCAATAAATTGATCCTATGGTCACAGTATAGAGACATCCACAAAAGGTCAATGACCTTGAGAATCCTTGGAATGTGCCATATAAGGAAAGGTTTCTGTAGTCATGGCAACAAAATACTTCTGACCAATCACATTTCTTCTTCTTTGACACTACTGCCCATAACAAAATTTTGAAGTGGCATAAAAATGTGACAGTCACTACTTTCAAGATATAACCTGTAGCTAAAATTAAGTACTGCAACAATATGTTACAGGCACAAATACAGCAATACTTTTACTAAATGTATAATGCGGTACATGTACAAATGTAACTTTTGCAGTACAACAAGGGCACAACTCCCTTTCTAATTACAGTACGATAATACTGATTATCTTTCACACAAAATGGACATCAAGTTTTAAACATAGTCTTCACATTTCTTAATGTATTACAATTATTACATGATGTCAAGTAATTACATGTAGTCAAACATACAATCTTAACTAAAAGCACCAAATTTTACGTACAAATACTGGATGGAAAACATTTAAGATAAAAGGTGGAAAGATGTTGCTAGCCATTGAAAGTCATGACTTAAATTGTATTTTATCTAGGTGTAATATTGAAGTAACTTCAAATTTTGGTTATGGCCAAAGTGTAAAAATGCAAACGTCACAAATTATTTTCCACTGATGCAAATAAAATAAAAATTTATGTCAAAAATGTCTTCAGAAAGATGAATAAGTTGAAACAAGTTGAATTCCGTCTCAGCATTGTCATTGTCCAAAAGCTATGAATAATTACGTCAAAAATGTCCAAATTGCACAGTACTTATGCTAAAAAATTACTTTCTTTCCAGAAGATTATTTTTCAGAATCATATACTAAGTATATGACTTTAATTTTCTCTCAGGTTCAGTTCCTGCAAAATTTTTCTTCCAAAAATATGCTTATTGATGGATTTAAATCAATCTAATCAAATTAATACTCTTAAGGCCACACCAATTTAATTTCTTGGTTAACGGATTTTTCTAGAAAAATAATGGAGCGGGCATGCGAAAAAAAATAAAAATAAAAACAGGCCTAGGCATCCTATTATGGCCCAAAATGGTATGATAGGAGCCATGAAGTCAACACAACAGGCAGGTTCAAAATTTTAACAATGAATTTTGAACTTTTAATGATACCATTGCATTGAAAGATGGAATAACTGTAACAACTAGGATCAAAAGGACTGTTTTCAACTGTTCAGGGCAAAATATGAGCATTTTGCAGTTGATTCTGAATTTTTATTTTTATTTGCAAATCAGAAAAAAATCAAGCGGGCGAATCCGTTAACCAAGAAATTAAATTGGTGTGGCCTAATGGCATACTCTGTTGTTACATGTGCTCTGACTTTTTTCAGCATATGGCCATTCATTGACAAGTTCCTGGCTTCTCCACTCATGCATTTTGTTTCAACACTGATTTTTTTTATAGATTAAAGAATGTCACTAATGTCAATCAACAAGTAGAATTGATTAATTAAATCATTAAAACGAAGTGATACAAACTGAAGTTGAAGTATACATCATTTAGTGGGTACTGGGCATGGCAACAATTTTCATCACAGTTTTGAGTGAAATTTTCATTTAATAGTATGACTTTTTGGCAGTTACCTCCTTACTACAAGTTTAACTACTTAGTAATTTTTACAGAACACTATAGTACAAGATAGTACAATGTTTTATGTGGTAGGAAACACTAGGAAAAGAATCTTACATTCCAGTATATACATCGATTTCAAGATAGCTTTCAAAGCTTGGCATTTACAAGACACTACTACTGAAAGGCTAGTTGGTACCTGTTTAAGTTTTAGTGTCAAGGGATAAAACTACAACTCTTTTTTATCAAAGCTGGCATCACACTGTCAACGTCCTTTGGCTGAATTTGTTCCTTGCTGGTGAACAGATTGAGTAAAGAGACTCTTTTTACACAACCAAGTCTTTTATTCTGCCGACGTTTCGGTGACCGTCTGTCACCTTCCTCAGGGCAATTCTGACTGGTTCACATTGCACTGCAGCATAGGTGTCGCTGCATTTCCACACGTACAGCTGAGGAAGGTGACAGACGGTCACTGAAACGTCGGCTGAATAAAAGACTTGGTTGTGTAAAGACTCTCTTAACTCAGTGACTTACCAACCTGATGAAACTATTCACGGTGGTGAACAGACTGTTGTGGCTCCGCAATATTTTTACCATCCACGAGTTTCCCATCCCCAGAATGCAACGCAAAAACGCGGGGGTAACCCTCATTTGCATAGGACTGGAAGGCATCGGATGATCTTGTTGACGTTAAACAGCTTGTTTTTCACTGTGTTTTGAGGTGTTGGGGCATTTTATGCTCAACATTAATTAAATTACTATGGACCGAATCTGACAACAAATAGAGAATGAATTTTTTTGAATATGTGGTTTGTAACGTTATAGTGGTAACGCTATACTGATGCTGTAACGTACAAACCACATGTTCCATGTTGAAAAGAACACTAAAACTTCATTCTCTATTTGTTGTCAGATTCGGCCTATAGTAATTTAATTAATGTTGAGCATAAAATGCCCCAACACCTCAAAACACAATGAAAAGCAAGCTGTTTAACGTCAACAGGATCACTCCGATGCCTTCCAACCCTATGCAAATGAGGGTTACCCCCGCGTTTTCGCGTTGCATTCTGGGGATGGGAAACTCGTGGATGCTAAGTAAGAGTGTGCCTGTTCACCAAATCCCCTGCCCAGCACTCACTATGGGTCATGTAGGTCACCACCATGTGGCCAAAAGCTGGCTGGAAAGATGGACTGCCAGAGGAAAGGGCTACATGCATTCCAACAAACTGGGGCCAAAACACACCAAAGCTGGCGTGTAGAGAATGACCTGTTCATTGGCATCTTCAAATTGCCAGAGAGTATTTGGGGCCCAAAAATCTACCTTATGAAATTGAGTGGAGTGACCTGCAATGCAAAAACTGGCTGGTCTCTAATACATTTTGTGATCAAGAGGACACAAGCTGTATTTTGGCCATATACATGTATATAGTCAGGCAAGCTATTTGTTATGTATGTGTGATGGCAGCTTTAGCACAGTTTGGTTTAATTCTGCTGACAAGGCCATACTACATGGCTCAAATTTTGTATTCTGCAATGTCACTTAGCTATTATATATAATAATAGATACTGTGGAAAGTACATGTACAGGTATCAAATATGTAGAATGAACCAAACGGTTTAGAATGTAGAGCTTAGCTGCAAAAGTGGCCATGGTCACTTTGATTTCAAAAGATAGCAGTTTGAAATTCCTAAAACATGTAATGTTTGTCAAACATCTTACATTAATATAACACAACATAAAGACAAAAATCATTTTCTGTCTACGGTGAACAATGACCATAATATTAATTCTCTTTTATATAATATGTGGAACTGTACCGTTCATTTGGTTACGTGTACGTGTAATACTGATATAGAACTTTTACTTTAACATTGGAATTTGAAAAATTGATTTCTAGAATCTAACTTAAAAAAATATAAAAACTAAAAAGAGGTTAAAAAAAAACCTTAAAAGTGACCAGTGTTTTTGTAGATAGGAATACTTTTAGAAAACATGTTTTATAGATTTTTGACAACTGCAATTTACAAAGTACTGCTTTAATTTTTCTCAGAATTGTTGAATCAGGAAATCCTGTGAGTCAGGGGGGAGGGGGCGGTTAGAAAATGTAGGGTATAAGGATAGAGCGACTGCTGGGGTAGTTGTCAAACTTGGTTCTGTACCAGTTGTGAGTGATCCAACCACACAGGCCCAGTTCCACCAGAATATAACCTGCAGCAAAAAAATAACAGACAACATCATTAAAGGAAAACTGACCATCACAAGAACTTCCTAGAGATGTACCATATGAGAGTTCTCGTAGAAAACTCTAGAATTCTACAGTGAGTCATTTCGAGGAACTACACAGTATCTGTATCTGTATCGGTATAGCCGGTATAACCGCCCTTCGGCGTAACAAACCAGCTTTGCAGGCACGCGGCACGGCGGCAGCTAGCTATTATCACCCTGAACGGCTTGTTACACTCAATCTTTGCACATTTGATTGCAGGAGTTGTTTAAAGCTTTCTAGTGATGATGCCCCAACTATGCTTGGTGGCAACGAGTTCCAGTCTACGATAGTTCTGGGGAAATATGAGTTTTTGAACACCTCAATTCTCGGTTGATAACTCTGATATTTGAAGGCATGACTGTTTCTTGTTCTTTTCTGGGCTGGTATCAGATACTTAGTGGTTGGTACGTCTACCAGTTTATTAGTCATTTTGTACAACATGCACAGTCTGGACATTCTACATCAGTAATTACAGGATGTAGTGTTGTGTTGTGGAGATGATGATGTACATCCAATGTTGACCCAATTTACTGATACTAGTGATAGTAAAAAAACTGCATATGCATGCAAGCATACAGAAACTGCATACATTACATTGAATTTTTCTTATGTGTAAAATATTAATTATTGGTCTGATTTGGTGTACACGTCAAGAACCTACAAGGCAAGGCAAAAAGGCTTAATTGCTGCTGCAGGAAAGATGTAATTATAATTTTATTTCTATATAACATACTACTTCAATTTAGAAACCATCATCTCTAATCGAGTGGGCAAGACAAAAACACATGGGAAAATGGGGAAAACTAATAGGTCTACTTTCGACATCTTCATGAAGAAATTATATATAAATTGTATGTAATTGGGGTTGACTTTTTTTCTTTTTGTAACACTTTGTTATATCATCTAGATTGTTTACTGGTTTTTATTTAGTTTTGTTGTTATGCATGTGGTTTCAGTTATTTTGTTCTTTGTGCCATGCTTTCTTTTGTGTACTTTTGAAAGACACAATAAGAATAACGATTTAGAAAAAAAAGATGTAATTCCACCTCCCTGGAACTACATTTTGTACACCCTCTGTGTGTATGTATAGTAAGTTCAGCTATAGTTCAAACTTAAGACCAAGCTGTTTGCCAATAGCCTTTGAAATGTCATCACAGTTTAATTCTTGGGCCATTCCAGTTGCTCAAGTTGATGTCACAACATTTGTGGGGCCTTGTGAAACAAAAGAAATGTCTTAGCCCATTATGCCAACAAACCACAAAAAGAAACAGAACAAAATGTCAGAAAAGTCTGGTCTGACCTAGAATGACATAGCTGAGGTAATGTTCCCCTCCTAGGACAATAGTGATTGACAGGTACATGAGCAGCTCGGCCAGGTAGTGGGGGTTGGACACGTACTCGAACCAGCCACCATACGGGATCTTGTGTCCTCTCGTTACTACATAACCTGCAGGGAAAAAGCAATCTCATCATTTGGCCTCAAAAAGGTTGGCATTTACTGTCAAGCAGTTGGTGGCAAAACAGCCACAGAAATCATAAATTGTCGAACAGAGAAAAAGACATATCAAAGATTAGGTTTAGAGGAAAGACATGAAAGACAAAAGACATCATCTTTCAACTGGCCTGCAATCTGCTTTTTAGAGGGCATTCACACTGACCAGCCATCAGCCAATCAGCTACCAACCAATCCTGTTGCAGCTTACTGCCAGGGAGCACTGTGATTGGCTGGTAACTTCTCTTCCATCAACAGGAGGGAAAGTACCTGATTGGCTGATGCCGGCACTAATGCAGTAAGAACTGATTGCAGGTTGGTATGCAAGGGCTAATGCTTAACCATATACTTATCAGACTGGTGGCCCTGGCATGAGTAGATAGGGTAAAGTAACAACACTTTTTGGCGACGTCTCAGGGAGGAGCCTAATGGTACAGTATTGTGTGCAGTTAACAAGAATTCTAGGAATTGTACAGGTATTTTGTCCACAGGAATGGAATGTCCACAGGCATTTCCCTGACCCACATCTATGCCCACATTCCTGGAAACCCTTGGGAAGACCCAGAAGACCTGTCTGCCATGGATGGCCCTACTTTCTGTGACCCAGGGGCTCGTTCACTATACACTCGGGGGAGGAGTGCACTGTATCTGTCTTGCTCAAAATCATGAAACGATGGCAGTGCCAATGCAAACAATAACCCTATCATGAACCACCGTCGCCATGGCAATGTATGTTTTCATTGCCAGTCTAGTTGATCTATTCCTTGAAAAACAGAAGAGGCTATAACTAGTTTCGTCACCTCGTTTATCCTTGCGCAGGTTGGCGAGGATGATGTGAGCCTTGTTCTGTTGCCAGAAGCTCCAGATGAACAGACCTGTCCCCACCACATGGCTCCATCTCACATCTGACAGGCTCAGTCTGGTTCCTACAGGCCAACACAAATGTTTAAAGTTAAAACTTTTGGTCCAACACAAAAAATTCTCTCACCTAGAGCTTTCGACCAGTCACTCTGGTCTTCCTCAGTAGACTGACCCAGTGAAGCTTGTCACGTGGCTTCTTTGAAGTGTGACGTCAACACTGGGTCAAAGGTACAATGTATCTGGTATCTGGGTCAGTCTACTGAGGAAGACCAGAGTGACTGGTCAAAAGCTCTAGGTGAGAGAATTTTTTTGTGTTGGACCAAAAGTTTTAACTTTAACAATGTAACTACCAACACAGATGAACTTTCATGATACAACACAGAAATGTTAAAAAAAGACTTTCAGATATCAGAGTGGAATTTTCAAGGAGTCTTTTGATTTTTAGAGAATTGCTCAGACTGTCAAAGTGACTATGATATTAGGGCAGAGGTCAAAGGTGGTTGGAAGTTGGTATCATCCCCCGTCTCAGTCCAGTGAAGGATAGGTGTGACCTGATGTACATGTAGATGGCTCATTTTGCTTCTGCCACAAAATGATCTTAATATAAACCTTTGCATAATGAAAATGTGTTGTTTTTTTCTCTGTTTCTTCTTCTGTTCCAAATACATAAGGTCAATGACCTGGACCAGATGGCTGTCACCATAGTAATTGGCGCTGTAGCAGACTACCTAGTTGGTATTTGGTTACATTGTGTTGCAGAACGGAGTTGGACTCTTGTCACCATATATAAGAATGTGTTTCAGTAAGAATAAACAGAGCAGTAGTTTATTAGGCAAGACCATGTGAAGGTTAACATTATGATTTGCTTTTCAAATATTGCCTATGCGGTTCTGCTCCCGAGGTGTTGCCAAAAGACAACTTGTGGCTCACCATCGAGTTTGGGTCCCTCTGCGATGATGGAAAGTGGAACAGCCAGGTAGTAGACCAGGCCCAGCAGGTAGTGCACCAGGTGGACACTCACGTCGGAGAAGATGCTGACGTACACACACTCCCACAGTCTGCGCAGAAACTGGAACTCCAGTAGAATCAGGGCCAGCAGGACAGACACATGGTCAGCTGTAGGGACATAACATTGGACACGTGGTCATATTAAGCTGGTAGTGCTGTGTACCTAAACCCACATACGTAGGTTCAGGTCTGGATTCAAGTCCAGAGGGTTAGGTTCAGTTCCGGACTTACAAGTCCAGACCTAAACCCATGGCATATACAAAATTGCATGTTGGCAGCCTTGCAATAATGTTGTTTGAGCAAAACTTCATAACATGGAGGCCGACACTTGACGATGCCCAATCGCAATGTTTTCATCATTTTGACATGTACCAATGTCCTTCTCATTGTTACAGATACTCCCAGAGTTCTCTTTTCCTTGTTATAAAGCATCAGTATGGATACATTTACGCATAGCCTCTACCAGGCATTGGAAGCAACTGGAAAGAGTAGAAATTGACCAAATAGACTATAGAGAGATAATAACATGCCAGTCACAGTAAATTGAACAGACCAACTCCTTGGTATGTTATCTGTCCATTGGGCCAATTTCTACTCTTTCCAGCCACTTGTTAAGCCTGGTACATGTAGAGGCTACACATAATCAGCTGTGCTAATAATAAAACATTATGAAGAGAAAGTTTTTGATACGTTGAAGGAAGACTAATTGATGGCAAAGAAAAATGTGTACCCACGTGTGCTATGCAATGATCGTCCTCTTCATTTTTTTCTGATTTGCAAAAAAAAAAAATTTGATTCTGGTGACCTGAATCAACTGAAAAATGCTCATGTTTTGCCCCCAACAGTTGAGGAAAGCCTTTTTCTTCCTAGTTGTTACAGTTTTCCCATCTATCATTGCAGTGGTTTGATTAAAAGTTCAAAATTCAATGTTTAAATTTTAACCCAGCCTTTTGTGTTGACTTCATGGCTCATTCCGTAGCATTTAAGCCTATAATGGGATGCCTAGACCTGTTTTTATTTTTATTTTTTTTCGCCCTGGCCTGTCGCTTCATATTTTTTCTGAAAAAATCCGAGAACCAACAAATTAAATTGGTGTGGCCTAAAGAATGGAAAAGTAATTTTCGATATCTTTTCCTGTTTCTTAAATCCTTTTTCTAGTCTCTAGTATCTCTGAACCTTGACTCTATCCATACTTACCAGTAGGAGGGTCCACAGGGTAGGTGCTGAGGAAGCTGAGGGCCTCCTGGAACCACCAGAAGGCAGGAACTCCCCCGACATACGACAACAGGGCCACCAGCAGGATAAAACTGTTCCACACCACACCCTCGTAGTAGAAGTGGCTGAACCATCTGTTAAAGAAACAAACATGCATGATGGTCAAAATTGTATTCTAAAGCTCATTCACTTATATTACGATCTACATAAGAGAGTTTAACAGTGACACTATCACTATATTGCCATGACCAATATCATAACTTTAATGTCTGTTCTAAAATGTTAAAGTGTAAGTATGATGATTATAACAATCATGAAGGCTACAATTTGCTGGCAGATGTGTAAACTACTACATGTGGCAAGTGTGCTCTAATTTAGTCTAAACACTGCAATTATGCTGGCAAAATAAACACATTTTAAAGCTGGATGTATGTCTTTGGATTACCATTGAACTAAATCTACAGCCATTCATGTGTACTTATGCATACTTACTTATCCCCTTGTGAGACATGTACATACATGTTATTAGATATAAATGAGGCATGCTTTTCAACATACTTCAGCTACATACAAGTATTGAAGTAGTGCCATGTGACTTCACTTATAATGGTTCACGTTTTCAGCCCCTAACCCTAGCATACTGGGTCTAAATCCCCTACATTTATATATAATTTTGCCCAGTTGAGGAAAGTATTCTATTAGGTGGCTCAGAATTACATTTAAAATTCTTTTCAATTCAGTCCTCTCAAGACATCTCTGAAAACACAATACATGTATATCTAGGATCATAGTTTTGGAAGAGTGAACAGTTCAAGTTTTACTTAAACCTCATCGTCCACATATAATATTATGCAAATAGGCATGGTGTAACAGTTTAAAAACAAATTAAAGTTAAACACAATGACATTAAAAAACTCATATCCCACTGTCATTGAGTCATTCCTGCAGGAATTCCTGCAGAATTTCCTGCAGGAATTCCTGCAGAACATTCCTGCAGGAAAAGTGTCTTCCTGTAGGAATTCCTGCAGGAAGAATTTTTCCTGCAGGAATTCCTGCAGGAAGAAAAATTTCAAAATGAATATTCATGAAAGTTATTATCATATTTGACAACTATACATCATACTTGTCAATCTTATATAAAGACTTTGTACCAAGTGCTTTTATATTGAAAATATGAACACTTGTCAAAATGGGAAAAGTGGAATTCCAAACTTATATTGGAGACTGTTTTTTCTATTACTCTTCTTAATAAGAGTGATAGTCTGAGGCTTGATGTCTGAGGCTATGCCTGTTCAAAGCTTCTCCACTGGGCTGACCTCTTTATGTCCCATCCATTTGAATGTAACTGTAACCACTGACTACATGCATCTCTTTCTCTTACCATTAGTATTACAAAGCCTGTTGGCCGAATTGTGTATTTTCATCAATAAATAAAGGCGCAAACAAACAAGCAGGGCTCAAATGTCATTTCTAGCAACAGATAATGGTATATACCTAAGTACTGCCAATTATCTTTCCTTCTGCTTTTGCACAGTTCTTTGTTACAAGTATTCTGAGTGATGTTGTATCTTCATTTAGAACAAAGTACAAATGTATCTCCAAGACCACCATGCCCGTAGCCAGGGGGGGGGGCGGGTTCGGGGGGTTTGAATGAACCCCCCACAAGGCTCAAAGGTCCACTTTTTGGTCCACTTTTTATCTAAAGGTCCAAGATTTGTCTTTAAAAGATGGACTAATTCGTGTCACCAGCGAGGCTGGAATCATAGGAAAACTGCTCACTTTGTCATTGAAAAAAGTTATCTAATTTTTTTCTTTGACATCCTTTAAAAAACGCAGGAAATGCCATTTCAGAAGGTTCATTTTTCAAAATTTTCTGGGGGAGCATGCCCCCAGAACCCCTAGGAACTTTGTGCCTACGGCGCTCGCTGGTCCCTCAAGCAGTGGGAAGAACCCCCCCATTTAAAATCCTGGCTACAGGCATGGCCACAATCTTGGACTCCATTTCCAGTCTTCTTTGTTGTTAGTATTAGACCTACATGACTGCAGCTGTGTACACGTGCTTGCCAACACTTTGAACTCCACACGTCAATGCAGAGGCGGCGGCAGGAAATTTTGATTGGGGGGGGCAAGATTTCGGGCGTCAGCAAGTGCCGCAGGCTCGAGCCTGCTAGGGGGGTCCCCCCCCGGAAATTTTGAATCTTTAACCCCTCTGAAAGGCTATTTCCAGCATTTTGAGACCAAAATTTTTGTTTTATTTCAAGCTAAGTTTAATGCTCCCTCTAGAGTTTCGTCTATGAATTCTTCCATATGAAACAGAACCGAACGGTCAATGTGTGTCATTTAGGGAATGGCACCCTAATACAAAAGGGGTTTCGGCATG